TCCATGAAAGCTATGATCTTGGAAAAGAAGAAAGATCTTGCAGAGAAACTAAAAACTAGCATCTTCGAAAACCCTAAGAGGTTCTGGTCGTATGTCAAATCGCGTACATTGGATAAGCTGTCCCTCAGTGTTCTCCGCGATGGTCGAAGCTTCATAACGGATAGCCGCGACAAAGCGAACTTGCGTAACAAGTTCTTCTATTCTGTATTTAGTCCAGCTCCCGACTCTCCACTCATCAGTCACGAGGCACCCTATGGCGTCAATGACTGCACGAAATTGGACTCTGTTATGCTTACAGTTACTGAAGTGATGGAGGCTTTGTCGAATATTGATCCAAGTAAGGCCGGTGGACCAGATGACATCTCCGGTTCACTCCTAAAACATACTGCTGCTGAAATGGCCCCTTCATTATGCAGGCTCTTTAACATGTCGCTGTCTAGGGGCTCTTTTCCAGCAAATTCGAAGCGCGCGAACATTGTACCCATTTATAAAAAGGGCGATCCTACCCTAGCGGAGAACTACAGGCCAATTTCTCTTTTATGTATTGTCTCCAAAGTTATGGAACGATGCGTGTTTAATCACTGCTACCCTCATTTATCGTCTTTTCTTCACCAACTCCAGCAGGAAACTTCCAGCCAGGAAAATCCACAGAAACGCAACTACTTGAGATGTATCACGATATTTTAGACAAACTAGCCAATGGCCAAGAAGTGGACGTAATCCATCTTGACCTGTCAAAGGCATTTGATAAGGTTCCACACAGGCTACTCCTCTCGAAGCTTGAGCTCCTTGGTATATCCGGTCCAGTTTTGTTGTTGTTCTCAAGCTATCTTTCTGACGGATACCAACGAGTTGTTGTTGACGGCATATCCTCAGACTGGCTCCCGGTCACATCAGGAGTACCCCAGGGCTCCATCCTGGGTCCGCTTCTATTTCTGGTCTTCATTAATGACATGTCTTGCTCCATTACCCACGGAAGTAAACTTAGCCTCTTTGCGGACGATAGCAAGCTATATCGCCCTATTGTTTCCAATAGATGTGCCTCCCTGCTGCAAGCTGACTTGGACAACTCCAAAACTTGGTGTGACGACAACGGAATGTGTTTCAGCACAAACAAATGTAAAGTTCTACACCTGTCAAAGAGAACCTCGCGCCAAAGAGAGAAGCATACATACCATTTAGACGGCCAGACCTTGGACTCACCTCCTGACACCAAGGATTTAGGCGTGACGGTCACTACTCCACTTTCATGGACGACGCACAACGAAGAGATATGTGCCAAGTGTAACAAAGTTCTTGGTCTTGTAAAGCGTGTATCCGGTAGAGGCATTGTTGACGTTTCAAGCAAGAAAATGATGTACACTGCGTTAGTTCGCCCAATCGTCGAGTACGTATCCTCTGTATGGTCTCCTTACACAGCAAAGCATCGTAGGCTAATCGAAAATATACAACGACGGGCAACTAAATTTATACTAAACTATCCAGATAGGAAAACCAGCTGCACTGCGAGACTGAAAACTCTTAGCCTGATCTTGTCATTTTATACAAAATTAGGTCAGGTCTTATCAACGCTAGCTTTGACCATCTTCTGCTTCCTGCTAACCATATCTACGCAACCCGACGTCATCATCCTGCAAACATCCGCCCTTTATTTACTCATACTCAGCGGTATTTTACAAACTCTTTCTTTCCTCGCACAATGAAATTATGGAACGATTTACCGAGCATTATTAAGCAAGCGAGCTCTTTACATAACTTTAAAGCCTTAGTTAAGCGGTTTTATATGGAAATGCTCAAGCTTTATACTCCGTCCTAACTAAGTATCGCAGTCGGTCGGCAAATTAATTTATTCTATAGGCAAAGTAGATGAGTGCATATGTAACCTATATTTTTCTATTCTTTGTATTTTGTAAGGGGACAAATGTCAATTGGGGCTCGCCCTGTATTTTTCTCCTGCCGTTATATTTTTGTTTATTTATTGCGTGTCTCTGTTCATGTATTTACTTGTAAATTGTATTCTTCAGTGCAAAATCTCAATAAACTAAACTAAAACATACTGGAATTTACGCAATCAAATGCAAATCCAACTTTTTCTCTATCTTCATTTCGCGTGCGATAGACGCAAATGATTTCTTTGGTACTACATTTGCCATGATAGATGAAAGCTGTTTTCTCTTCGAAACATCTAGCGAAGAAGCAAACTGCAAGAAAAGTGACGTTATTTGTGAAATTGGCGAAGATTCGATACGATTATTCAACGGTCGTTTAGAGCTAACTGAAGAAAGATTTTGCCAGATCCTTTCAGACTGCCGAGGGGAATGTGATTTAGAAACAAATGAAACTGAAGAAAATCAAGAATGTTATCTTAAGTCTGAGGAAGAAGAGGCTCTAACCAAAATTTGGAGTAGGAAGAAGTCAGTGCGGCCTCCCTGGAGCATGGAAGACTTTCTCTAACCGCAAAGGTTAAAACCCATCGAACAAATCTCATAATTGGTCGAACAAGACTGTTCAATCGTGCTTCACTAGCAATTAAACTGAAGGCTCAAAATGAAAACGGTTCATGTTACTACAGCAGCGTCGTAGTAAGGATATGAGCATTTGTGGTCAGCGGTTACACCACCTTTTTTGTGAACTCGTGCTAGTTACCGCCAAGTTGTTGTCATGACATGTTAGTCAGATCCAAGTAATCCTTCGCCCATTTATTGTTTTTATTGTTTTTATTATTGCCCATTTATTGTTTTTCGCCCTTCGTGTATTTTAAGGCGACTAAGTTGTTATCTCAAGAAGATTTGTTACTTCAAAGCCAGATCCCAGGATTAAAATTTCTCTTTTTCTTGAGAATAACGACGACACTCCTTCGAATGCGAGTTGACTTTCGAGGGTAGCCACAGTTCAAAAACTAACTACGAATACTAGTTCTAATTACGTCAAAAAGGGAAAGTAAGTACGAATACAGAAGAAGCAAACTCTAAACGTTACGTCTACTTCTTAATTTTTTCGTTTGATTTTGAATTGGCAATAGCTATTACATCACATAGTGAGCTGAAACTTTCGTCTATATGACGAGATGTCAGAAGCGACAATCAAACTGTGATAACCCGGTTAGTGAAACTTAATTTAGTAAGAAAACTGACCAGTAGTAGCTTTCATCGGGAACTAATGATCCCCAGCCAAAACAAAGGCCAGCCGAAATGAACAAGAATATTAGCTTTTAGCTCTGTTTGAAAGTTAAACTTGGGTTTCTGATCCTCTTGATTAACCTGAAGACGGGAGCAACACAATGGAGGGCGGGAGTCGGGAGGCAAGGGAGCACACAAGTACGGAAGGCGGGAGAGCATGGCACGGGAAGCGGGAGACTCCGACCCCCCTGTCCCCCCCCCTCCCCCACAATTTTGGTGATTTCACGTTGTTGTTTTGCACAGGACGGCTAAGAAATGTACAAAGTTTTAAAACGCACGTGCTGGGCTATTGTTCTGCCAATTAGATCTATTGTTTTTCCACGTTCTCGTTGCCGTAGCCGTTGTGGTTTGCTTAAAGTCCCTAATATTGAAGTTGGTGGAGGCCGTGTGTATTTGCAAGTTTATCGAAGTTGGCGGAGGCAGTGTGTATTTTCCAAGTTTGTTGAAGTTGGCGGAGGCCGTGTAAGTTTACTAAGTTACGTGCTAGCGTAGAGTTTATCGAGTGGAAACTACGTTCATTTTGGAACAAACCTTCTTGTTGCTGTTCCGACAACCCTGCGTTGGCATGTACCAAAACCCGAAGCACCGAAACGAAACCGCCGGAGCCGCCGGAGCCGCCGGTTTCACATATCGTCCCCAGGTTCTCTTTGCCGCCATAATTTTAACTTATCTCCCCTCGCAGGTGATAAACGGTAGAGGCCCACGTGAGTTGTTTTTACCGCCGATTCCCGCGTTTGAAACAAAGCACGAGAGCATAGCTGAACAAACTAAAGAGCTGAATGAAAAGGGGAGCCTAAAATGTACGGTATTTTATAGGGTTAAAGATTGAGCTATATACATTTTAAAATGTTTAAAACGCATTCATTCAAGTTAAAGCTAGATGTGTCATGTGAATATTTATGTTGTGCATTTCTATACTACTTTCGTTAAATCTCGCTTCCCAACATTGCTTTTTTCCTGACTACTCTGCCCCGAAAAGGCGAAAACCACCTCAGAAGTATTTGATCTAATGCAGGATACTTCGAATTCACTGTACAATTTAAGCTCACCATTCGTCTCAGTTAACAACTCGTGTGGATCTCTTTAAAATATTTCAACAAAAGTTTTAGTCTCGGCTTATAGACAGGATCGGCTCATAGGGAATGTTTACAATTCCGAACATATGCGCGAATTCGAAGTCGGTGTCCATTTATGGCTTATTTTTCATAAAAATCCAACAGCTTCTGAAAGCTAAAAGTTCAGGGTCTCAGCTTATAGCCAGGATCGGCTTATAAGAAAATAATTACGGTATTGAACGTATGCGTAAATTCGGAGTCGGTGTCCAGTTAGTACACTGCGCTCACAAACTGAATCCAGCTCTTTCGCCTTTTCATGGCCTCTGGCCTTTGATCGCCCTCGAAAGGAATCTCGTAGATTGAAATATTCTTCTTGAGTCAGGGGTATTCGAACAACACCAAACATCGAAACGGCAATTTTCCTTTTTTTTTTTTTGCTTAAAAGATCGTAGGCACTAGATTCCAAGCCCACTTAGCTTCTTTGATAAACTTGGACTTAGTACCATGACATCACGAATATGTAGGTACCAGTACTCTTCAATACGGCCAAAGAGATATGGGAAGCCTAAGTTCGCTACAATATCGGACTTTTATCGCCTCGTAAACTAACAAAGACTTATCAGAATCATTCACAAATGTTACCAGACACCCTCTACATGCTTCTGTTTTTATAATTTAATGCTAAAAAATAGGTGTCATAGGGATTTTAAATTCTAACGTTTGCTTTCAACCTCGTTCCCAGGGCTTTTCCCTTTTTGAATATTTTGGGGGCGGGAAAAGGCTCTGGCATAGGCTGACGAGTTCTCGTTTTTGATTGGCTTACGAAATCTGATAATTTATGCTTATTTTCGTGGCGCGATTAGCATTCCTAAACAAATATGGCGGAAGGTACCGCCGAAATCGAAACACCGAAGAAGAAATCCCTTGCGTAGACTTTGCTGTGAGGCCACTGAAAGTCGACACGTGGTCAAAGTATTTGGAAAAGCTGGTGTTAGTCAAGAACTCGCCTCGAAAATAGAAAGTACCTGTGCTGTTTCGCTTCGCGAGAGTGATTATAAGTTGAATTCTGTGTGCCGCAAATGCATAAACTTCGTAAACAAGATGTACGATTTTGTGAAGAAAACGAGACGTGTCAACCAGACCATCTATTTGCAGCCAACGGACGTCTCTGTAAAGCGTTGCATTGATGTTTCACCTTCGTCCTGCCAGCAAACGAAGAGGAAATCTACGACGCAAGTGACAGCGAAAGAACTCTTCCCTCCCTCCCAAACCGCCAACGCGAATGAAGACCCGATGTCTCAGGACGAAGTAGTCCCAATTATGGATGGAGAACACAACTCAACGGCCGTGAATGAGGCGACATTGACAATTACTCAGCAAAGAATGCTTGTAAGTGCCGTAAACTCAAGGGATGCTGCTGTTGTGGCCATGATATTACATGATTACTGCACAAACGTTGTAAAAGAATTGGATGGTCTTCGCTTCAGA